CGTAAGTATTGAATAGTCGACTGCATTATAGGCTCTTATCGTTCATTGAACTCCAACTCAATCTAAGATCACAACTATTTATGAGTTAAATATGCTTTGAATGGGAAAACAAAAACTTATTAATATTGTATTTGCATTTCATTTCGATTAATGCAAACATGTATTCAAAATGAATGCAAAGAATGTATGAAAGGGTTGCAGACAAAGGGTTAGGCAGTGATTGGGAGAGACTTCAGAGACTTCAGAGACTTCAGAGACTTCAGAGACTTCAGAGACTTCAGAGGAATTGAGTTCAAGAGATGTATTGAAAGACTAAAGAGTTGGCGACGAATGCACTCAACACTCAATGAATTGATGGCATTTCAAGCCTTTAATGCAACTCTTTATGTGTTTATTATACCATTTATTTGAGAAGAGATTCATGAGACAAATGTATCAATTATTTACGGCTTTTTCAATTCTTGTGGTTATATTGCACTCTCAATAATGAATTGATTAGTAGTTTGTCTATGAAATGGACTAATACTGTGATAAATTGATCTCCAAATTAGGAGTTTATAAACTTTATAATTGCGATTATAATTACAATAATTGACATCCAATTGAAGCCAATTTAATAACTATCTTCTCGTTGAACTACACCTTAAATACTTGCTTTGAATTTATAATACAGTGTTTTTAATGAGAAAAATAAAACTTAAGAAATAAATGGTTGGAAAATAGGGAACGAATTGTGAATGAATTTTCATAAACTTAATGCCAGTATTAGTTATAAAGTGTATATAAAACCCGTTTTGTGCAGAAAGCAAATCATTAAGTTTAATATCGAAGTCATTTGATACGAAGACATTATAAAATATATTATAAAATACATTTGAGGCAAAGAAATGCTTATTAAAAACAAAGTCAATTACTATACATTACACTCCAGTATTGGTTTGCATTTCAAGTTTTCACGTAATTCCTCTGCATTTGTGTCAGTCATCTCTTTAATCAAATTTTTCTCTATAATTATCTCCAAAAAGGATTTATTTATCCATTAGGAAAAATAGCAGATATACTGTAATATACATGTAATGTGTATCCACTGTACGTATAGTATACTCATTAGGAGTCAGTCATTAGAATAACAAAACATAAATAGAATTGAAATTCTTTGAGATCTTCTATAACTCTATCGATTGGGAGATAAATCATTTGAGAGTTACTTAAAGGCCTCAACAGTTGAGAAACATTTAAATTAAGTCAAAAACAACATAACATGTGATATAAGAGAAACACAATTACTATGAAAAACCAAAAATGGGTTAATTATGTTCTCGTCTAAAGTCTTAACACATTGAAAGTCTTGCGAAATCTCTCAGATATCTAAACACTGTATTTGTTATAATAATCATGTATTCAGTCCTCGCATTCATTTCGACAACAATCCCAACGAACGCTTCATTTTCTCAATAAATTAAATTCTTTGCTAATTATATAATAATACGGATATGTTTTGAATTAATTGATATTTTCTTTTCCTTTTTCTCATGTATTTTTCGTAGATTTTGTTTTTAAACAAATTATGCAAAATAATAATAAAATACACGCAAAATAAGAGCAAAAAATGAATTTTAATACAATTTTTAAACTTATATATAATATATAGATTTACATTAATTATAATATTCTTTATAATTAAATATGTTTTAAGAAAATTGACGAATAATTGACTAATCATTCAGTCATACATTACAATCACAGATACCGTATATACAGTCGTCTCTACAGTAATATAACTTATAATTTCGATCTTCGCTTAACACTAATATAATAATAATTTTAAGTTTTATTCAAAAACATAAGAAATAAAAAGAAACTAAAATAAAAAGTATTACTTTTAAATGAATTTCAAAAACAAAGAAATTGTTTGTTTGATAGCATAAGTACAGAATTATTGGTACATTTCGCTCATTCATTAAATATATAATAAATGCAAAAATGGATAGAATTGACGGTTTGACTAGCAGTTGATTTACAGGAAAATGCATTTCTAAAGTAAAACTGAAAATATTTCGTAAAAATGGACATAAAATCGATTAAATTTAAAAAACAGTTTTAGTTTAGATAAATATTCATTTTTTGAATCAAAATATTAATATTTCGTNAGAAAATTAAAAAACGAAAAAACAATTGAAAAATATATATAAATTTATAATAAATAATATAAAAGATTATTCATAATTATTTATAAGACAATAATAGTTTGATTCCCAAAACAAGCAATAAATTTGACAGAATTTCCAATAAATATAATTTATGTCTTAATGGATGCCATTTCATGAGCGATTCATTCATCGATCTCTTCGTCGTCCAACTCATTGGAGTCGAGAATCTCGAAGCCATTGATGCCATTGTTTGCGTTCAACTCATTGGAAGAATTACTTTTCGCAATACTGTCGACAGTGGAAGCGCTCTCAGAGCCCGACTCCTTATTATCAATGCTTTTGTCCTCATTGTCCACAAGAGGAGCACTGCTGGCATCGGTCGCGTCGTCTTTCTTCTTCTTTTTGGCGTCTTTTTTGTCACCATTTTTCACGTCGTGTTTATAGAGCGGCCAAAACGACTCCATAAACCCAACGTCTTCTGTAAGGTTCGGCAGAATCCAGAGATGATGTCTTCCGAATGTGAAGACCCAGACGAGTGTGAAGACTATCAGACGAACTGAAAACCAATTAACGATAAATAGTTGGTTAGGGTTTGCGTGGAGTGGCGACCAATTGACACAAATAAGCATTTGTTGGCAATTAATGGAAACGAAACTCACGAACGGCTAAACCGATGATAAAGAAGAGGAGAGCGGCCGCAGCTATACTCAGATAATACACATAATTGCGAACCACTCGCGGCCACAGAGGGAACAGACAGATGGCGATCGCCGCCAACACAAGGGCTGCACCGATAAGCCACGCGCGCAGAGGGATCGGGTCATAGATCCAGACATACGGCTGTTGCACACAAACAGGGAATCAGTCATACAGACAGTCATACCTCATGTCAAACCACTTATACCTCATTCTCATCAACGAATAACTGTTCCAAATGCATGTCTAACTTAATCTTCTTCTTCTCCTTCTTCTTAGTCTCCACTTCTTTGTCGTCTTTGTCTTTAAGCGACACTTCTTTGTCTTTATTCTCCTCTTTGGTGTCCTTGTCTTTCAATTCTTTCTTTGCCTTCTTCTTGGACTCCACTTTCATGTGTTCCTCATTACAACTGCTCTCTTCGTTATCCGCTTTCTTCTTCTTGTCTTTCTTGACGACAACAGTCTTCGCTCTGTGAAAGAACTTATGTCTAAGCATTTGGTCCATGAATGCCACCACCGATTCGCGGGATGTGAACAACGCTTCCTTCTGTCGTTTGTCGTCTTTAGACCACTTCGAGTCCATCAACAGATCAATCGATTTCGAGGCTATTGTTCACGAAATAGATCTCATGTTAGTTATCATGAACTCAATTATAGACCAAACGCTTGTCAACAGATCCGCACCAATAAAATAGTCCACTTTATGAGAGAGAAGTGTTGTCTTCTTCGGCGGTAATTTAGACCTCAAGTACTTCGCGATCTCGTACTCCACTTTCGACGGCTTCTCCGACTCGAGACTCGCGTCCGACTGACACACAGAAGACAATCAATGAATACATCATTCAATCATCACTTCATTGCAATTCAGTTATCATTGAAACGATGGCAACAAAACATATTCTTCTGGTATTCACGGATCCAATGATAACTAAATGGCAATCAATAGATTCAATGGTTAATCACCTCTTTCTTGCGTTTAGTTTTCCTCCTTTCGGCCATAATTTGTGGTCTTTTGTGTCAATCTGTGGACAAAAGCATGAATTGGTGTCCGATTTAAATGTCTTTCAAATCATTCACTCATTTCTTACGAAAAACACAAATATTTTAATGTTTTTATCGATTCTCTCAACAAATGAACAGATTTTGTGTCGAAAACATTGAATACATTACACGTCAACCCATTCACAGACGACAGTACATCCACTCCACTCTCAGCACCCCTTCACTCACGCACTCGTGTCACGCGTTTCACGCAATCACTAATCCTTTGGATAATACGCGATTGGATTAACGCCTTAAGATATGGCACCCGAACACGCGTTTCGGTTATAATAATGTTAATCGTAATGAAGGGAGACATGAGTGCAGAGCACCCGACCCTCCATTGCGTCACACGATAGGCGAACGCATAAACAGATGTGAGTTTGAGATATAGTTATGTTTACGTATCATAAGATTCACTCAATTCTAACGTGAAGTGCAATGCAGTCAGTGATGCGAACACTCACTCACTTACGGCACAAACTTCACAAACTTTTCAACTTTTCATTCAATTGTTTCTTATATTTATTTTGTTTGAACTCTTATTGTCGTTAAATAGACTACAAATCTAGTACTCATTTGACTTGACATTCAATTTATTCAAACTTCAATACATTTCAACACATATTATTAATTTTACACATAATTCAAACACATTAAACACATTGTGAGCATACAGTGGACACTATAATCATACAAACTTTGTAATATATAAATAAACTTAATCTTTCAATAAATAAATTTAACAAAACAGTTAATAATTATAATATAAAACTAGAGAGCAATCTCCCAATCAATGAATGGCTATATTTGCAGTCATTTTGGCAAAAATGATTAATTTATGTATTGATCATATGAATGGAGACGAGAATTGTTTGCAAAGAGTACACAGAATTTGGTTCAATTCATTGCCAACTTATAACATACTTTTCAACCAATTTACAGAAGTTTACTCATATTAATGTGATATGATTTGAAAATACCTGTACTAGATCATTTGTTTTTAATACTAACTTATTATAAGTTATTCACAAGTCATCACAAAATCTAGAGTTATATGAAAATATCATAAGTTATTTAAATTACTGTAACTCTATTGTACAGTAAAAACAAAATATATTTTAAGACTCTCTAAATGGACACAAAAATAGATTCAAATATAAACTCTAAAACAATTATTTTTATAACATTTGGTCAAAAATACTGATTCTTATCTGAGTTAACAATTACAAAAACTATTAATTCATAGATTAAATAAAATTAAGTATTAGTGAATAAAATCAAAACTAATTACAGGGAAAGAATGGGACGAAAATGGAGCTAAAGTTAGTTAAACTAAACATAAAAATGGCTCCAATTGTGGACCCGATTTGAGTAAAGATTCCGCAAAAGAACAGCGATTTATGACCAGTGCTTGTATTGCGAAGAATGGTTGCAATACAGGCGCGAGAGTATGAGAATAGGGCTGTGAATGCGATCCAAATGATTATAATTAATGATTTGCCGGCAGTCGAGTCATGTAAGGGAGGCGTCGGACTCATCACTGCAGTCGCTATGATATAAGCAGCGCATACCGTTCCCACACCAACGACCACCGGTAGAGTCTTCTTGACGGCAGCCGTACTCATGTAAAAGGCAACGAAACAGGCGATTGGGTTGGCCATAGAGGACAGGGTGACTGTCAAGTGGTAGGCGGTGTTCCCGTAAGGCAGACAACTGTAACTCTGAATACCTGATGGTAAAATGCAATCATTATTATGTAATAAATAAGAGATTCTCGACATTACTGGGAAGGACTCCATTAGTGAGGGCACAGATGTAGGCCTGAGTGACCAGAAGACCCACAAATGAGTTGCGACTTATATTGCGGTCATTACTTCTGTTCAGATATGACTCGCAATTCAATTCAATTTCATCGCAACTCTTGTGTTCAGTACTCGCGTCCGACTCTCCGGTGTTGTTAACAGTCCTCAACTGACTCTCCACTTCCGAGTCCTCTTTATGGGTAACCCTTTCTGATTGACATATCTTCAGGTGATTGAGTAGAATGAATGCCAACCAACTCAACAAAACCAAAACCAATAGGAATATGAAGAATAAACTGACAGAAAATCTTGGGTCCGGGTATTCGGCAACTGTTTGATTAGCTTCTGTCGTGGAGTTCACGCACTCGGGATTGCCTCCAATTCCTGCAATCAATTATCAGATAACATACGGAACTATAGATTCTGTGATGCCATCCATACCTTGAATGATGGCGATAACACTGGGTATGAGTCCACTCAAGCCCTGACCGATCAGATATGACATCAAATACTTGGATTTGAAGTGAGCCATGAATGGCATGTAGAGCACAGATGTGGTGCAGTCGACCACAGCTAACAGAGCCGTCAGCAGAAGGAAAGCCACCGAATGCTGAGATCCACTGATTTGTGTGATTCGGTCCCAAAACAGGGATAACAAGAGACACGAAAGCGCGCCAATCAATAGAGTCAAGTGAATGGCAGGCTTTTCCACCGACTGTCCAATCAATCCATTCATCAATCAATGGTTGCCTTCAATGACTGCAAACATTGCATACCTTTAATGAATACTTGAACTTCAGGATGGAGTAGACAATGGGTCCGATGTTTGCCAATTGCGTGATCACCACCACATGTGAGGCCAGATTCCACTGCTCGGGCAGTCTGTTCACCAGCACCGGTGTCTCCACCCAAACGCCATTCACTTCAATCCAAGAGCTGATGCCGAAGATGATGGCCAACACGTCCACCCAAACCACTCTCTCGTTGAACGCAATTCTCGACATCTCTTCACTTGATTTGCAAATGTCTTTCAATTCAAAGCTTTCAAACACTTATGCTTTCAGTCATTCTGTATATCATATGATATTTGAAACAATTTATTAAATACAGCAATAAATGAGTGATTATTTCATAGTAATTATTACTACAGTAGTTATTAAATTGAATTACTGTTAGTTAGTTACTAATTATAAGTTTATTAGGATTCAGATGTGATTACAAGTGAACTCACATTTCACTCATTTATTGAGTGTTTGTTTAGTCCTTTAATATAATATTAATATTTTATAATATTAACTCATATTTAATAGTAATCTAATCATTGCTTTACTGTTATAACAGTAATTGTATTGTAATTAGAGATCTTATGTCAATAAAAGGCATTCAAATGTATTTATAATATCAATAATTTTAAATCATGTTAATATATAAGTGAATGTGATCAAGTGACCAAGGCAACCCGTATATTATTCATATCATATTTACTTTCATTGTCTCATATGAAGTCATATCACATGTAAAGCACATAATCATTAAAAATGTGATGATTTGTCGTTTAAAGTGCTGTTTATTACACAATTCATTGCATCACATCTATAGATGTAATCATAAACTGCGTTACTTTTGCCATAAAAACTTGAGACCCTTGTGCTTACATTCATTGACTATCATATGTGGGGGTTGGTTGTGAACTCCCTATTCATGCTTACACTGTCACGACATATATGAACACTACGATTGCATCACTCAATTGGGTGAATATTGCACTTTAAATGAGCGCATCTGACAGTTGTTGAGTGTATTCAGAGTATAAATAGTACTAATTTAGTGCAAATCATATCTTATACTTTTAATTATATGTCAATTGTTATAAACTGATTGCATATTAAACTCAATAAAACACTAATAAATGAATGTTTTTAAGTAAATACAGTACAGTATGAGACCAAAGCTAACGTAAGTATTGAATAGTCGACTGCATTATAGGCTCTTATCGTTCATTGAACTCCAACTCAATCTAAGATCACAACTATTTATGAGTTAAATATGCTTTGAATGGGAAAACAAAAACTTATTAATATTATATTTGCATTTCATTTCGATTAATGCAAACATGTATTCAAAATGAATGCAAAGAATGTATGAAAGGGTTGCAGACAAAGGGTTAGGCAGTGATTGGGTCTCTGAAGTCTCCTTAACTCAAGTTCTCTACATAACTTTCTGATTTCTCAACCGCTGCTTACGTGAGTTGTGAGTTACTTAACTACCGTAAAGTTCGGAAATTACGTTGAGAAATACACAAATAATTACCATTTATTTGAGAGGAGATTCATGAGACAAATGTATCAATTATTTACGGATTTTGAATTCTTGTGGTTGTATTGCACTCTCAATAATGAATTGATTAGTAGTTTGTCTATGAAATGGACTAATACTGTGATAAATTGATGTCCAAATTAGGAGTTTATAAACTTTATAATTGCGATTATAATTACAATAATTGACATCCAATTGAAGCCAATTTAATAACTATCTTCTCGTTGAACTACACCTTAAATACTTGCTTTGAATTTATAATACAGTGTTTTTAATGAGAAAAATAAAACTTAAGAAATAAATGGTTGGAAAATAGGGAACGAATTGTGAATGAATTTTCATAAACTTAATGCCAGTATTAGTTATAAAGTGTATATAAAACCCGTTTTGTGCAGAAAGCAAATCATTAAGTTTAATATCGAAGTCATTTGATACGAAGACATTATAAAATACATTTGAGGCAAAGAAATGCTTATTAAAAACAAAGTCAATTACTATACATTACACTCCAGTATTGGTTTGCATTTCAAGTTTTCACGTAATTCCTCTGCATTTGTGTCAGTCATCTCTTTAATCAAATTTTTCTCTATAATTATCTCCAAAAAGGATTTATTTATCCATTAGGAAAAATAGCAGATATACTGTAATATACATGTAATGTGTATCCACTGTACGTATAGTATACTCATTAGGAGTCAGTCATTAGAATAACAAAACATAAATAGAATTGAAATTCTTTGAGATCTTCTATAACTCTATCGATTGGGAGATAAATCATTTGAGAGTTACTTAAAGGCCTCAACAGTTGAGAAACATTTAAATTAAGTCAAAAACAACATAACATGTGATATAAGAGAAACACAATTACTATGAAAAACCAAAAATGGGTTAATTATGTTCTCGTCTAAAGTCTTAACACATTGAAAGTCTTGCGAAATCTCTCAGATATCTAAACACTGTATTTGTTATAATAATCATGTATTCAGTCCTCGCATTCATTTCGACAACAATCCCAACGAACGCTTCATTTTCTCAATAAATTAAATTCTTTGCTAATTATATAATAATACGGATATGTTTTGAATTAATTGATATTTTCTTTTCCTTTTTCTCATGTATTTTTCGTAGATTTTGTTTTTAAACAAATTATGCAAAATAATAATAAAATACACGATAAATAAGAGCAAAAAATGAATTTTAATACAATTTTTAAACTTATATATAATATATAGATTTACATTAATTATAATATTCTTTATAATTAAATATGTTTTAAGAAAATTGACGAATAATTGACTAATCATTCAGTCATACATTACAATCACAGATACCGTATATACAGTCGTCTCTACAGTAATATAACTTATAATTTCGATCTTCGCTTAACACTAATATAATAATAATTTTAAGTTTTATTCAAAAACATAAGAAATAAAAAGAAACTAAAATAAAAAGTATTACTTTTAAATGAATTTCAAAAACAAAGAAATTGTTTGTTTGATAGCATAAGTACAGAATTATTGGTACATTTCGCTCATTCATTAAATATATAATAAATGCAAAAATGGATAGAATTGACGGTTTGACTAGCAGTTGATTTACAGGAAAATGCATTTCTAAAGTAAAACTGAAAATATTTCGTAAAAATGGACATAAAATCGATTAAATTTAAAAAACAGTTTTAGTTTAGATAAATATTCATTTTTTGAATCAAAATATTAATATTTCGTTTACATTTCTATTTGTTTTGAACTCAAAAACCAGTCATTCAACAATTTTATTGAAATGACTTACATTTGAATCAATTATAAAAACATTTTCTTGCAATCGATTCCTTAATAAAAGTTTTTGTTTTTAAAAATCAGAGTATTTTGAAAATTTGTTTATCAAATGAAATCAGTTATAGAATATTCAATCGATTGCTTTAAAAATATTAATGAATACAACAAACAATTAAAACCATTTTATAAATGAAAGACTAATCGTATGTTTCAAGTGTTCAGTGATTCCCGAACGGAATGATTGATTGGTTTGTGTTTAAGCTTTGATTTAAATATAGAGTAATAAGAAATTCATAGAAATCAATAGAAAATGAGTGACAAATTCATCAAAAGTATCGGTACTTTTTGATGCAATCGTTGCCCAGATCGACAACAATCACGTGATTGTCATTAGTGGTCACTAAACTGGTCGGACGTTTGAGTTTGGCGTCACTGCTGTCGATACAGAACTTCAATTGACCGGAGATTAAGTCAAAAACTTGAATAAAACTCTTGGATTTCTCGACTCTGGTGGCCAATAGATTGTTATTATTGTCAACAGTTATACCACAATATTGTCCTTTATTTTTGCCCTCCGAATAGATCTCACGCTTGAATCGACCGCTCGGATCAAACACTAAGATCCGCGAATCGGCGACTAATATATCACCGCTCGGACCAAAACAGACGGCGCCGATCACTCCCAACGGCTCGCCCTTTGGATTATTGTTTGTTTTCGACGGAATACCCATTATTTTGGTGTTAAGTTTGCCGACCGGATGAAAGAGAAACACTGCGTGAGCGCCGTTATCTGCGACCACTATCTCGCCCTTTGTGTTCACCGCCAGACATGTCGGCTCAATCAAGTCCCGGTGCCCGAAGTGTCGCACAAACTGGCCCTCGAGTGTCACTTCTGTGATATTCTTGTTGCGCCAATTGCTGACTAGAAGAGTCTCTGAACTGGCAGTCAGTGCGATACCAGTTCCCGCTCTGTTGTCTAATCCATGGCCTTCGATATGTTTGACAAAACTAAAGGGAGAGTTATTGCAGTTGTTTTGCAACAGAATTTTAATCCTCCCGTTCCCGGTGTCCAACACATAGACCTGTCCGTCATTTTGACTGATAGCCAGACCGACGGGTTGTATGAATTGGTGCAGATCTGATCCGCGACAGCCGTATATACACAACGGGTTTATGTGTTCCGATGCCTCCAACTCGAGCGGGAAGTCTTTGATGGGTCGGCCGAAGATCGAGATTTTCAGGCAATACACGCCGTGTTTGGGAGGAGTGAAGTGCGCCTCATATGTGCCGTCCCTGTTGTCCACAATTCTGGTGGTGACAGCCGTCTGGTCGGCCAAGTGTTTGAGTTCAGCGGTGACGGGATCGCCGCCAAACTTCTGTCGGAGTCCGTTGTAGTCGTAAGCAGTGATGTGAGCGATTGAATGCAAATTAGCCGAACATTTGCTGACAGTTGCGGTGCACAGGGAGGGGAAGGTTTTGCTGGTTCTGATGGTTCCGAAACTGTTCACACATTCCTGGATGTCATTGACGGCTGTGTTATGCAAGTGCTCGTAACGAATGAAGCAGTTCTCCCGGGGCTCGTGTAAAGTGTTCACTGAATCGAGCTTTTGGTTCAGATCTGAGATCTTTTTGCTGATATTGCGGACCTCCACTTGATATTCAAGTCCACAGCACTCGGTCTCCACTTTGGCCTTCTCTGTCTCGATTATATTCAACTGTTCCGCCAATACATTCCTCTTGTCTTCTCTGATCTTTTTGGCAAAACTGAGTAACTCTTGACGTCTTCTGTCGACGACATTAATAATCTCCTGAAACGTGCGGTTAATGTCTTCGAAGGCGTGCTCCGAGTTTTGGTCCAGTTTTCGCATTTCATTCAACACATTATCTGCCGCTTCGTTCAGTTTCTGAATGGTTTGATGCGCTTTGTATAACAGGATTTCACTCAAACGCTTGATTGCGATCGAGAAGGGGATCACCTGTTAAGACACAATCCATACCATTGCATAAGTCTTCATGTTATTTGTAAATAAGGTTCATATGAATGATAAATACCGTGTGTTCGCAGTCTGTGTTTCCGCTACCGATGCCGTCGGAGGAGTCATTGGAGTCGTTGGATCCGTGCGACCCATTGGTGCAGACGCTGCAGAAGACACAGTCGCACGTCTCGCAAAAGAGCAGTTCCTGCGAGACATGACTCGAGCACTTGGGGATCACTTCACGTCTTTGGCGAGTCATCAGATCGAGGAGTTGGTTGACCAGAAAGGAGGGCGGGAAGGCCACGACCCCTCCGCGGGGCACTGTTATCGACTCGCGACAGATGGGACACCGGAAGCAACCAATTTGGTCGCGAAGACCGGCCGCCACAGCGATGCGCTCGAGACATATGCGGCATATGGTGTGCGAACAGGGAAGCAGTTTCGGAGTGTGCTCTCCGCTGTCATAAGTGTACAAACAGGTCCCACACGTCAAGAAGCCTTCGGTGAAGTCCTCGTAGTTGATGGACACCGTCTCGACCAGCGTTGAAGAGGTCATCATTTTGCGGCCCAATTGCGATCTGTTTGCCACACATTAGGCGTTAATATGTTTGTAAATATTTATGTCATTTAAATCATTAGACAAAACATTGAATACATTGCACTGAATGTGATTCAAGGGTTGGCAGATATTACACACATGTTCACCACTATCTCTGTCTCTACTATAGATCCTGTCATACACTTCACATCCACCCTATTATCACGTACTCATCGCTAACTGATCTGTGGCTCACGTTTTGTGCATAAACTTCAATCAATGCTCGCATTATTCATATATTCAATGAAATTGTATTTTAATTACATTTCAATACTGTTTGCAAATATGTTATCAAAACGTATGACTTGAGTGTCAGCTGAGGCGCCAATAGATAACTGTTTTGTAATTCATTACTAAATCATATTATTTAATATAACCTTAAATTGGAGTCAAAGGACAGGCAAAGCATTCAATTATCGTATAATTATGACAGTTATAGCAGTTATAGTCATATCTACACTATATGTACACTAATATAAGAGTCACTGTTTTATGCAAACAATGAGTGAATCATTAGTTTCAATGATAGCTAACATTGATTTGAATTTATGAGTCGTTTGAACCCAGAAATGAGTTGTGAAAACAAAACACAAACTCATCAGTAATTGAATGATATGTCAAAACATAAACATCAATGACTTGATCAGCAAAGCAGTACTCATTGGCCACACATTGAGAGAGAGAGAGAGAGAGAGAGAGAGAGCTATAGGACTACATGTTCAGCCAAAACAAAGGCATACCTCACGAGTGAGGACTGCATTGTCTACTCAATGGTCTCTTTGCACACATTTAATGATCACTTACTGAAGAGCATATCTGAGGGCATCATATCCTGAGGGAGTCGTGAGTTGTACTGAAAAACTCATTATTCGTATAATTGGTCCAAAAGTGAGCACCAAATAAGACAACCTCAACGTCAAAGACAATCCAAAGTTTGCATTGAAAGCAAATACAGTACTGTTTTATATTATACGACAGTTTAGTGGACACCAGATCTGAGGCACACTTTTCACGTTAAAAACAACTGTTTTGAAAGTATTATGCGTTTTGTGGTGAAAATGCGCACAAACTGTGAGACTATATAATCTTTTGGTTAATAATAATAAACTGAGCGCTGATTTAGAGGACAATTATTTGCAATTCAAGGCTTTAGGCAAACGTTTTGGTAAAACACAACACAATCTGAAGTAATGCTGAGATTTAAGGTGAGAAGCAGTGACTCAATAGACTCGTCGTTCAGCACAACACTCGACCACTACTACAGCCTTCACTGCAATGAATGTATGCATCAGTCGTACAGTCAGTCATAGTATGGCTCGTATGGCAGCACCAGAGCAGAGCACCAGCAGCTGTGCGCCCCTACAGCCAGGAGTCCCATACACACCATCACTACTATTCACATGACCACCACCTCAACAGCCCTTCCCTCACTAACCTGCCTGTGCTGTCGTGCCAATCAACAAAAGCCTAACACTTCTAATCACATCTATTATATGACCCAAAATAGTGGTTGCAATTCATGGGACGGACAGTCGTGTGGACAGTCGGTGTGTCTGTGGATGTGTTGCATAAAACGGATTTGAATGTATGACTGCGTGAAGGCATTGCCTCCACTTTGGCTATGGTTTGGTAATACCTATGATATGATAAGTTAGCGTAGATTTGGCACAACTTGTTGTATACGAAAGCCAAGTACAGTATCACATGATTTCATAACATAAACACTGAATCCGACAAAAATTGAATCAAGTCTTGAATGAAGGCTTAGCCGTAGGGCTCATACAGAATACATACATAACTGCTATTCAATACTAAACATGAAATATCGGTTCAATAAATGTTTAGTACTTGAAAGAGAAACTCTGTTTTATTATTAACACATTAACTACTATTGAATACAATCTCATAAAATAATAGCCACTTAAATGTGTGACAAAGTATTCAATTACTGAATGCAATTAAATTCAAAACAAACTCGTGATTAATATTGGGCTAAAATGTGGAAAATTTTCTCATTAAAAAGCATTGAATTGATGCCTAAAAAAGTTATTATCTAATAGTTTCATAGGTATAGCACACTATAGCACACACACCGAGTGTAACACCCATTGTATTAATTACAATGTAATGCACTGTATGTTAGGTCTGGCCATAAGTTTTGCAGACTTTGTGTGCTCTTTGTGTTCAAATGAAGAGCTCTTTATTTATCGGCGATTCATAAGAAGGCAATCAAAGGCGAAGTGTAGGCAAAAGCAAAGGAAGATTGCGTTTAAGCGCTTCCTGTGTTTTGACCAAAAAATCTTCAAAAACTCGAGTCTATAATACGGTATAAAAACATTTTGTGGGCATATGTTTGGCAGAGAGAATAAATGTTAGCAATAATTAACTTTTTAAAGACTCTGTGAGGACCTGACAGACACTGCGGATGGACTCACACTGTGTTTACTTAGTTCTCAAGCATTTGTCTACAAAACTAATGAATGGATCGTCAGATCTTTAAAAAGTTTTGGAAAAAGTGTTTTTTGTGCGAAACTAGTGCTCGAGAGTTGCGTTTCATTCATATCTTCATGCAGTGGCAAAACAGTTATAGACGAGAGTCTGAAGCACTGTATGGCACACGTCCTCAATGTGTCGTTCAATGAATAAATGTTTGTCTTCAGACTCAAACACATATTCAATTGCATTGAATGTGAACTCAAGCCCTTCCGGAGCAAAGAACGACAGACATAGACATAGAAATTATAGACTCCGTAGACGTGTAGTTAACGCTAAGTTCATAGACTAGAGGAAAACATTTATCATAAAAAATTATGTTCTGGTCTAAAGGTGTTGTGAAGAGTATTGAGTTTATGTTATCGAAAAACTTTTTACTAAAATGGATAATATATAGAAAAGTTTTCGCTAAAAGTACTGTATATTCTGTAGTACACTAGAAATAATTTGTCGGCATTTCAATGATTTAAATGGAGAATACATACAAAGTATTCTTTAGACAAATTGTGGAAAATATAAAAATATTCTCATAGAAAATGCGGAAAAATTGATTTGACATACAGTAGAGTATTGTGTACTTTCAGTGAAGTGTTGTGTAATTTTGTTGAGAAGAGCTTTCTTCACAACTAATCAATTGCAAGAATAAGTCATTCATTCATTTGACTCATAATTTGTGTGCTTTGGATGTGAGACACACATCGACCAGTATTTTGACTCTCGTCTATAAATTATAATTATGTCCATTAAATTAGATTATAACTAATGATAGAAAGAATTTCTCTCAATTAATTCGTTTTCTCACAAAAACATTTAAGTAGAAGAATTAAATTCAATAAAAAACAAACATAAAGAACGAGACATACATTGAGAATAGAAATAATTATTAATAAAAAACAAATTAAATGATTATAGAGGAAGACGTCGGACGAAAATAGTTAAGAGAAAAGGCACTAAAGAATTGCATTAAAAGTATGAACATATTATACATTAAATCATTGGCAGAAAATTATACGCGAAAATGTCATTATTTGTCAATCAATTAAACCAGTGGCTCCTTAAGAACTACAAAATAATACAATTAAACAAAACATCTAGTTTAATAATAACTACTGTAATAAAAATAATATTTTTTAAGTAAAAATAAAATTTCGTAAATCTATTTGAAAACCACTAAAGCCTTCAATGAGGAAATAAATTCATATAAAAATGAGAGACTCTGAAAGTCAACACAAACATTATAAACATTATGAAATGCATGGAAAAGTATCAGTTTTGGTAATCAAATAAAAAATTTAATCGAAATACGTTGAGACAAACAGTGTCTAAATACATCTCTTTGTATTTGATCTCCGGGTGATGTTCTGCCACTTCTCGACAACACTGAAGGAACAGACCGTCAGACATACGCCTAATCAACGAAACGTAAGTCAAATGAATGCAACAAAAAAGACACTCAATGTCTCACATAATGTTTGCTTTGTGTACAGATGTGATAGTCTTGCGTCCGTTGGCCTTCGCGTACTCGAAGGCATACTGAGCCACTCGTCTACTGGCCTTTTCAGTGATCAATTTGATGCTCTGAACCACTCCGGGGGTGATCTGCCATTCAAATCATGAGAGGAGTGCAAGAGAGGGTGTAAGGGGTCTAACCTCGTGCTCAATGCCGCTGTACTCGCCTTCGGTGTTCTCGCGAATGGTGACGACATCGACGTTGTTATAGAGGGTCTCATAGCCCTCGATCGACCGACACGGCCGCACATTGGCGTACAGAGAGAACACTCTACACAACACATACACCTTATGTCCACTAATCCACATATTTTACTATTCAACCCATATCTTACTTTCGGATCTCCAGATTCAGCGAACGATGTCCTTTGCCTATAGGTGTGGCCAACGGTCCCTTCAGACCGATCTTATTCTTGAGAACAGAGTCGATAGCCTTCTGAGGAATACCGAAGCGTCCGTCCGGTCCCTTGACTGGAGTCACATCAACCGTATCCCAAGTGATGGGAACCTAACGGTAAATACAAGAATCCATTCATTACTCCATTTTCATATCATTTAATCCAAAGGCAAGACCTTTGCGGCAGAGAATATTTGCTGAACAGCGCTCGATATCTCTGGTCCGATACCATCGCCCGGTATTAATGTGACCACTCTTTCGGTGGACTCCATTCGGTGACAATTATGATGACATCGAAACACATTCGACAGAATCGGTCGCTATTTGGACACAGAATAAGGCGTTAATGAGGAGATGAATGAAATGAATGGTAACCAACCAGTGATCGATGCATTGTTTGAGTCACTCGTCAGCAATGGATTGGATTTGATCCGAAATAATGGCAATAAAGAAGACAAATGAAGAGCAGATCACAAAACTTTGGTCACAAGTATTTGTTTAACTGATTGTGTGGTCTATTGGGTGACACAGATGTCACTGCAGTCTATGAATGCATACATCAATGCTGTGAACCAAACACCGGTTAAGCCTTTGAAAAGACCTTCACATAGTCTATAAATTTTATAAGTTTTATAAGTTTTATAGTATAAAACTACCGGTTCAACCACACACTGGTTGTCACCGGTATTAATAGACAATTAGAAATGAATGACCGGTTAATCACACTAATTGTCGTCTAATACCACTACACTCTATCCAATCAATTCAATTGACTCACTATCACTACATTCACTTTATTTCACCATTTATGTGCTCAATCAATTAGCTGCCAATTATTCATATACCGTACAATAGTAATAATACTAATCCAATAGCTAAAATTGTTGTATCATTTTGTAATGAGGCAGGTCACCTAAAATATGCTAAAATGTATGATAGTAGGGGTGACGGTTGCTATTCATAGAAGTCTTATTCATAGTATTTGTTGTAATTGTTAACCAAAAGAAAGTGATTGAAAAGAGTTATAAGTTCTAACTTAGAACTGATATGTGAATAGATAATGTATGATGCTCAATTCAATTCAATTTTACAGTACAGTATATTATTGTATTCTTGATGTCATACGAATTCATTAAATTGAGTTTCACAGTAATTGGACATGCATAATGCCACTAGAATATAGCATATAGTTCACTTATTTTTTACAAAACTACTTTTGTAATTGTTATATACAAAATCTACAGAATCTGTATATTATAGCAAATGTATAACACTTCTCCCATTATAAAAAACCGTTTCAGAAGTATAGTACTATAACTTATAGATTCTATACTATAGATTATTTGCCTATTACAGTATTTATACAATAAGTGTATAATATTAATACACATACAGTATTTACAAATTGACAGTATATACAGTACAGTATTAATACAGTAAGAATATGATGATTAGACTATTGTAATGCATGTTTGAAATGATAGCTATGTATGCATTGACTGGATTTGGTTCTAATTCATGACAAAATAGGTGACCACTAACCACGACATTAAGCAGAGTTTTAGTGAGAAATGAATGGCAATAATAGTGTGAAATGCAAGACTTGCTATTTCATATGATAGGGTCATAGGTTACAACTTGTATTGAACTCTCATACTGTAGTATTAGTTACTTTATAATTAACTCTGGCTTTCAATTAAAGGGGTATGGAATCTGAAAATGTGAAATATACCATCATATTCTATATTAAATTCTAAACACATTGAGCTAGCTAAATTAGGTGAATGGATATATTCTCTACTAGAAAAAGAATATTCTTTATAACTAAAACCATAGAATTTCATGCAAAATTCTGATATTTGAATATAAAGAATATTCTTTTTCTAATAGTGTATATATCCATTCACCTAATTTAGCTAGCTCAATGTGTTTAGAATTTAATATAGAATATGATGGTATATTTGAAATTACCAGAGTAAGTCTACTTTTGACATAAAGTCAGGTTTGGATGGAAAGGAGTCAAGTGTTGCGCACAGAATGCAAACCAATGCCTCTTTGGTTGCATTCGTGACGCAAGCTTTGGTGAAAAGGAGGGGAGAGTCGGGAGTGAAGGCATAGACGGCAACAGCACTGCATTCATAGGCATTCATAGGCACTGATAGGAAGGAGAGAGAGAGACAACAACACAACACTCATAGACATAGACAGCACTGAAATGGCGATCGTTGTGCCACTCAAGCACTCCATCACCACTGATCCACAGCTCAAGAAGTGCCACATTGGCCACCAATGGCCTCCATGACTACCATAACGTACGGGTGAGTCCTTCAGACATGCAATTCATATGATTTGATGGCATGAATGGTGCCATTGATGCCAAACACTGCACTCATTTGAGTTGCAATTTGTAGACAAATATCTGACAAATTGAACGCAATTTCCATTCAGTAATGGCTTTCTATATGTCATATATACAGGTGTTGTCTCACCACCACTTGACCACCGATACCACCAATCGGACACAAGAATGCGTGTGATTACAAGAATGTGACCACTCTTGCACACCAATTGGATCCAAATGTTTCGTCAATGGTATGTAAATGTCGTGAATTAAGCCATTTTGTAGTCATTCAATACAAGACTATAGTCTCCATTGTATATACCATTGCATATAAGCTTACGCTAAGACTCAGCACTATATTCATCGATCACTCGTTGCTTACCATTCATTCATTAACACCTTATTCTGTGTCCAAATAGCGACCGATTCTGTCGAATGTGTTTCGATGTCATCATAATTGTCACCGAATGGAGTCCACCGAAAGAGTGGTCACATTAATACCGGCGATGGTATCGGACCAGAGATGTCGAGCACTGTATTGGAGTTGAATAAATGTTTGGTGCCTTTGGATCAAATGGATTGAGAACGAACTCAATGAATACTTGGTGTCCAACTGTATGTCCAATTAGTACCCATATATACCTAATATCTATAACATTGTATTAAATATCAATTTGACACAATTCTAATATTGCTACCAAAATGAATAGTAGTGCCATTGAAAGCCTATTAAGTGTATGCAGATTAGTATAATTTAAGATTATTAGGTATTGTGTGCCCAGATATGTGCTCTAATAACACACACAACGGTTTAATTGTGACCAATTGTTATTATTTTTATTTACTACTAAACAGTGATTTACACATTAATTAGACAATTAATTGTCATTTCTGATGGTGTAATACTCATTGATCTATTATTTAGTTAATTAAGCATGAATATAATCGTATTAATTATAATTGAGTGATTAATTTGCGTTTATTTGAGTGCAATGTTTGTGATAAAACTAATGGCAACAAACAATTGACTAATTGTGAGCACAATTTAACCAAAAATTGTGACTATAGTAAAGAGATTGTGACGAATGTATCTTTTGTGACACTATTTGTCTATTAATTGCAATTAATTTAATTGTTATTTGACTTTCGGTGCTTAAAATGTCGATATTTTCGATATAAGCCTTAGATATGACACCACTTCGTAGACAATAGGCAACAAATAAATAAACTTTTGCACTAATGTCCTAAGAATGACCACTATATGTCTTACTTTTATATATTCTTTAGTGATAAACATAATTTTGTTGTCTAAAGTTCAAGTTAACAAGTACACCTAAGACTTAAATAGTAGTATCTTGATCACAACAATTCTATTAGACCTGTTGATTTTTCAGAGATGATTTAAATATGTCGAATGTTGTGAAATTTTATCAATGAAAAGTTGACAATAAGGTTATAATAACATAATGAACCTGATCATAACATACTGTAAATTGTAGTGTTAATCCCAGGAATTATACCCATATTTTGAAGTCACATACAGTAGAAGACATAAGTTTAGATTTAGGCTATTTAACTGAACATATTCGAGATTTATTAAAATGCGAATTGATAAAATTGGCAAAATTACCACAACCATTTAATATTCGGCCATTATCGTGAGTACCTCAAAATTCCGAAAATCAAAACCACGAAAATTATAATAATTAAAATTACTTTTCCTGAAATTAAAACTTAAAGGATAATTAATTATCTTTTAGTTAGTAGTGTGTTTATAGTAAAACTTAACCAAGAATTACAATATTGAATAGTTGATGAGATATTTACTTACTTGTATGACACTAATTAGCATTTAAATAATTGTTGCAATAATATCAATGAATTTTACATCAACTAAATTAAAAATAATTATTTATATAGATATTATAATTTTCGGGGTTTTGATTTTCGAAATTTTGATAGGATAAGGCCATTATCCTGTTATACTTAATAAAACCGTTAATTCCCGAATGTTGACCTCAATCGTCTATTCGGATCTGACAAAAAAATGTCCGAAAATACCTATAGAAGTATTGTGTAAATGATATCTACATCAGATTTTTAAATATATAAATTTATTATATTTAAAATAATCATTACTATTGATCAGTTTATACAGTTTATTAGAATTAATTTGGGACTTCCGTAGAATTAACGTTAGCGTTTCAAATAAATTCTTATTACCGTAAATGTTACAATAATAATTTAGAGTACCTCAAAATTCCGAAAATCAAAACCACGAAAATTATAATAATTAAAATTACTTTTCCTGAAATTAAAACTTAAAGGATAATTAATTATCTTTTAGTTAGTAGTGTGTTTATAGTAAAACTTACCAAGAATTACAATATTGAATAGTTGATGAAATTTTTACTTACTTGTATGACACTAATTAGCATTTAAATAATTGTTCCAATAATATCAATGAATTTTACATCAACTAAATTAAAAATAATTATTTATATACATATTATAATTTTCGGGGTTTTGATTTTCGAAATTTTGATAGGATAAGGCCATTAACTTAACAAAACCGTTAATTCCCGAATGTTGACCTCAATCGTCTATTCGGATCTGACAAAAAAATGTCTGAAAATACCTATAGAAGTATAGTGTAAATGATATCTACATCAGATATTTAAATATATAAATTTATCTATAAATTTTATTAGTAATGATAACTAGTCAAATATGTCAAATAATCTTAATTAAACCCTGAAGGCATCTTAATTGCAATCGCAAAGTTTATTTAAGAATAATGGCATTTACAATGTTATTATTAAATGTCAAATTAGGATTTTAATGAATTTCACTAAGAATAGGTTTGAATGGTTTAAGAACCAGAATGGTCTCACTGAACACTGTTTCGGGCTCCCGAACATCGGTCACAAAGTTCTGTTTAAAAGCTATTCGATGTTCAATTGAAACAATTTATTGATTATTTTTAATTTAAATTAAATAAAATATTTTTGATGAATTTATATGTTACTAGAAATTGCTTTTTTAAAGTTACGAATCTATACTTTTGCCCTATTTTCCAATTATGGTTTATACAAATGTGGTCACTGCTGCCGAGCTGTTAACATATTTGATCATGCTCATTACTTTTGAAAATACTTAGTATTCTGATAAATTAGTTAGCTGACTAATTAGCCGATAATGACCAAAACTTAGGTTTATACAAATGTGGTCACTGCTGCCGAGCTGTTAACATATTTGATCATGCTCATTACTTTTGAAAATACTTAGTATTCTGATAAATTAGTTAGCTGACTAATTAGCCGATAATGACCAAAACTTTGGTGATCCTAAACTTTTGCCGTCAACTGTACTGTAGAAAGAATTGAAAGAATTAGGTAATAATATGTTAAATTTGTACAGGTTAGATTATTAGCCGATTTAATGATAGATATAAATAGCTTGGAATTTATGGACTCATGAATAAAATTATCGAAATCTGTGAACTAATATTACTTCCAAATACTTATTATCCAATGAATTTTCATTTGATGTATGAATTGAACACCAATTATATTGTTGTGGTTTACCGTTAGGTTCCCATCACTTGGGATACGGTTGACTCGAGTCGAAAGACCGGACAAACGCTTCGGTATTCCTCGGAAGGCAATGGACTCTGTGCTCAAGAATAAGATCGGTCTGAAGGGACCGTTGGCCACACCTATAGGCAAAGGACATCGTTCGCTGAATCTGGAGATTGAAAGTAAAATTTAGTTTTAAACCAAACATTATGTGAGACATTAATTATCTTTTTTTGTTGCAGTCATTTAACTTACGTTTCGTTGATTAGGCGTATGTCTGACGGTCTGTTCCTTCAGTGTTGTCGAGAAGTGGCAGAACATCACCCGGAGATCAAATACAAAGAGATGTATTTAGACACTGTTTGTCTCAACGTATGTACTGTTAAGACATTGCAATGACTGGACATATAGTGTGACCCCTTGTATACCCCTTGCAGATGGTTCAGGATCCGTCTCAATTCGATGTACTGGTGATGCCTAACCTTTACGGCGATATATTGAGTGACTTATGCGCCGGACTTAGGTTTATACAAATGTGGTCACTGCTGCCGAGCTGTTAACATATTTGATCATGCTCATTACTTTTGAAAATACTTAGTATTCTGATAAATTAGTTAGCTGACTAATTAGCCGATAATGACCAAAACTTGGGTGATCCTAAACTTTTGCCGTCAACTGTACTGTAGAAAGAATTGAAAGAATTAGGTAATAATATGTTAAATTTGTACAGGTTAGATTATTAGCCGATTTAATGATAGATATAAATAGCTTGCAATTTATGGACTCATGAATAAAATGATCGAAATCTGTGAACTAATATTACTTCCAAATACTTATTATCCAATGAATTTTCATTTCATGTATGAATTGGACACCAATTATATTGTTGTGGTTTACCGTTAGGTTCCCATCACTTGGGATACGGTTGACTCGAGTCGAAAGACCGGACAAATGCTTCGGTATTCCTCGGAAGGCAATGGACTCTGTGCTCAAGAATAAGATCGGTCTGAAGGGACCGTTGGCCACACCTATAGGCAAAGGATATCGTTCGCTGAATCTGGAGATTGAAAGTAAAATTTAGTTTCAAACCAAACATTATGTGAGACATTAATTATCTTTTTTTGTTGCAGTCATTTGACTTACGTTTCGTTGATTAGGCGTATGTCTGACGGTCTGTTCCTTCAGTGTTGTCGAGAAGTGGCAGAACATCACCCGGAGATCAAATACAAAGAGATGTATTTAGACACTGTTTGTCTCAACGTATGTACTGTTAAGACATTGAAAATTACTGGACATATAGTGTGACCCCTTGTGTACCCCTTGCAGATGGTTCAGGATCCGTCTCAATTCGATGTACTCGTGATGCCTAACCTTTACGGCGATATATTGAGTGACTTATGCGCCGGACTTATCGGTGGTTTAGGTGTCACTCCGAGTGGTAATATTGGCAAAGAAGGCGCTGTTTTTGAATGCCATAAGTTAACTCAGCACTTAATTCTCTTGAGACATAATTATTATACTAGATTAACAATCCAAGTGCCCTGCCGTGGACTGTAGCGGCCAGTCCTGTTCCGATTGGGTTGTCGCGAGAATAATAGGGCGATACCATTGGTGTCGATTTGAAGTGACATTCCCTAACGATTCCGTGGACCTTGCATTAATTGGTTTCATTGAAAGGTATGTGTAGTGCAACACAAAATGGATTTCAATTGTTATAAAATGGTTTACGAGTTGTTTTATGAACTTATGCTATAATTGAAACCAAAATGATTAGACAAGTAGTGGTGAGGGGATGGGACACTGAATGTATATGCAATTAGTGGGCCGCATGATGGCACATATGTTGGTGAACATGATAGCGATGTCGGGTAATGAGTGAATGGATCGGGAATTGAATATTAGGAAAGGGATGGGAATTAGTTGTGTATTTCGATAGAGTAGAGTCAGGAGGAAACGCAATGAACGTAACAGTGCTCTCAGACTAGACTTACAGTATAGACATAAAGAGAGTGAGAGACCAAAGCGTAGCATAAAATGGCGATCCCTTTGCTATACGAGTGTGTAGTTTGGGTGCTTTAAAGCCAAACATTGATTGGGTTTTAATAGTTATTTATTTTGTTTGTTATGTCATTTGATTATTGTTTACGTTAATTACAATTAACTTGAATTGAACTCAATTTAGTAGTAATATATGGCAATGAATGCATTGACTCGCTGTTAGCCATATTTGCATTGAATTGCATATACAGTGAATTGCATTGAACACAAACTTTTGAATTGTTTTGACATTTAATTGATTTAATTTTGATCTTAAATGGAAGCAAAGTATGAATTAATATGAAATTCGTGTCCAATTGACTGATTTTGTTATCCATGTCCTATAGTTCTAGTGATTGGGATGACAGCAATGAGAGCAGTATTGACCAGCAAAACAGCCGCAGAACAGTCCCCCGAAGGACTGCCAGCACTAGGAATGCAAAAGTTTTGTCACAACAGAGTTCCAGTTCGTCCTCTGAGAGCGAGACTGAGAGCGAGAGTGAGAGTGAAAGCGATGACAACAGGACACAGAAGACCAGAAGAACTAATAAGAAAGTGAGTTATAAGGAGCACAGCGACCACACCGACTCGGATGACTTGGTCCAAGTGGATTGGACGGCATACGAGGCCGAAACCGAGACCGGTGAGACCGTCGAGAGGATATTCGAGCACCGCATCGGTAAGAAAGGCGCCACCGGACTGGCCACCACTCCCTATCAGGTGGAAGATAACGGCGATCCAAACGATGGTAACTGTGAAGAAGAAGATAAAGAAATGCAATTCTTAGTTAAGTGGAAGGGATGGTCTCATTTGCACAACACATGGGAAACGGAAGAGTCACTCAAAGAAGTGAATGCAAAGGGTATTAAGAAAGTGGAGAACTATTTGAAGAAAGAAGAAGAGATCAGAATTTGGTATTTATTCGCTTTGTTTACAAATAAAAAGCCGGTAATTAATGGTTTGAATTGACTTATAGGAGGCAAACGACGGCAACGCCCGAAGACATGGATTACTATGACTGTCAGGAGGAGATGGCTCTTCAGTTGAGACAATTGCATATGAATGTCGAGAGAATCATTGCTCATCAGTCCTCCAAAAGCACGGAATCTTGTCAAACGGAATACCTGTGCAAATGGGAGGGACTGCCATACATTGAGTGCACGTGGGAAGAGGAGACCCTCGTGCTCAAGAAGTTCACGCATCGAATCGATGAATACCACATCCGACAGAAGTCTCAGAAAATCCCATCGAAATTATGTCGAGCTTTAAAAGTAAGGCCCAAATTTGTTCCCTTAAAAACACAACCCGATTATATCGGTGGTAAAGACAGCTTAGAGCTCAGGGACTATCAGTTGAATGGTCTGAATTGGTTGACCCATTCGTGGTGTAAAGACAATGGAGTGATATTAGCCGATGAGATGGGTTTAGGGAAGACCATACAGACCATCAGTTTCCTATCTCACCTGTTCTATCAGCACAGTCTTTACGGGCCCTTCCTATTAGTGGTGCCGCTGTCGACGATGGCCTCGTGGCAGAAGGAGTTCGAGATATGGTCTCCAGAACTCAATGTAGTGGTATATTTGGGAGACGTCGGCAGTCGTAATATGATTCGCTCGTATGAATGGTGTCATCCGGGAAACAAAAGACTTAAATTCAATGTCCTGTTGACTACTTACGAGATTCTGCTAAAAGACAAAAGCTTTTTAGGAGCAGTCAATTGGGCTGTCCTTGGAGTGGATGAGGCGCACCGACTCAAGAATGACGACTCACTTCTCTATAAGTCTTTGTTTGATTTCTCGACAAACCATCGATTGTTGATAACTGGAACTCCTCTGCAAAACTCATTGCGCGAGTTGTGGGCATTGCTTCACTTCATTGGTCCCGACAAATTCGACTCATGGGATGACTTCGAGGCCGAGCACAAGGACTCCGACAATAAGGGATATTCGAAACTTCATAAACAATTGGAACAGTTTTTGTTGCGAAGAGTGAAGAAGGACGTGGAGAAGTCCCTTCCGGCCAAAGTCGAGCAAATACTTCGAGTTGAAATGACTTCCATTCAGAAACAGTATTATAAATGGATTCTTACGAAGAACTACAAGGCGTTGACCAAAGGAGTTAAGGGAAGTCTCAATGGTTTTGCAAACATTATGATGGAGTTGAAGAAGTGCTGTAATCACGCGACTCTCATCCGACCTGTCGATGACTTGACTTCATTGGAACCGTTGCAACGACTCATACGCTGTTCGGGAAAACTCTTATTACTCGACAAACTTTTGTGTAGACTTCGAGAGACCGGACACCGGGTCTTAATATTCTCTCAAATGGTCCGAATGTTAGACATTTTAGCCGATTATTTATCTTTACGTCGATTTCCATATCAAAGACTCGACGGATCTATAAGAGGAGAGTTACGGAAGCAAGCGTTGGATCACTTTAACGCCGACGGATCTCCGGATTTCTGCTTTCTGTTGTCCACCCGTGCGGGCGGTCTTGGAATCAATTTGGCGACCGCTGATACTGTAGTCATATTTGATTCCGATTGGAACCCACAGAACGATCTCCAGGCACAGGCCAGGGCTCACCGAATCGGACAGAAGAATCAGGTGAACATCTATACCGAGCAGTGGTTTCCGTCACAACTCCTTCTGTAGTAGCTTTCCCGGTTTGCTTTCTACCAAAACCTAGTGGAGCAGTATGTCGCTTACCTGTGTTGGCCCTCCTGTCACAATCGGTTTCTGTCAAGCGACTCGCGATCCAACACAACGCCATTCAATAAGGAAGAGTTGGCCGCGATTCTCAAGTTTGGTGCCGAAGAGCTGTTCAAAGAGGGCGAAGAGGCAGACGACGAACTGCAGTGCGATATCGATGAGATCCTACGCAGGGCTGAGACCCGCGAAGATGCGTCACAATCGGTTGGCGATGAGTTGTTGTCGGCCTTCAAAGTCGCCTCTTTTAACTTCAATGAAGACGAGGACGTGAGTGCCTTAAGTGCTCAGCACTCGCCTCCTGTGGAGGAAGTTGCCAAAGAGAAGGATTGGGATGAGATTATTCCCGAAGCGGACCGACTCAAGATCGAAGAGGAGGAGAAGCAGAAGGAAGGACTGGATATGTTTTTACCCCCGAGAAGTCGCAAATCTGCTCAACAGTCGGGCGCGCCCTCAGACAGCGGTGAGGAATACGACCCAAATCGGGTCAAAGACGACAAGGAAGACGTGGGAACCGATGACTCGGACAGCGATAAACCGAAAAGACGCGGACGACCGAAGGCATCCCCGCGAGAGACAGTGAAAGGGTTTTCTGAGACAGAAGTTCGCAGATTCATCAAGAGTTTCAAGAAGTTTCCGAATCCGTTAAACAGATTGGAATCCATTGCCATCGACGCAGAACTTCAAGAGAAGTCTACCACTGATCTCAAGCGCATCGCCGAAGCCTTACAACTCGGTTGTGAAAACGCCGTCAAAGAATATAATGAGAAATTTGTTTCCGAAAATCAGACCGAAGACAGCAATTGTATGTCTCAATGTGTTCAATGATTTCTCGAAATCCTTATCTAATTATTGTTGTGTTTTAGTGACCGCTAATAACAAGAAGAACAATAGGGGTCCGAACTTTAAGTTGGGAGGAGTCAGTGTTTTCCCTAAGAATATCCTTTCGTGTCAGAAAGAATTGGAAGCATTGGATGTTCTTTTGCCACCGACTCTGGACGAGAAGAAGAAGTATATAAATGTAGATATATTTTGGTAACAATTATTGACCATTTGTTTTGATACGTTTAGATGGGTTTTAAAATCCAAAGTAAAGGCAGTTCATTGGGATGTGCTCTGGAATATTGAGGACGACTCTCGGCTTTTGACTGGTGTTCATGAATACGGTTTGGGCAGTTGGGAGGCCATCAAAATGGATCCGTCCTATGGATTAGCTGATAAAGTATGTGATTATCTGATGTTATGTATTGAATGTATATGTTATTAATGATTACAATTGAATGTTCAGATACTCGCAGACGGCGACCAAAAGCCTCAGTCAAAGCAATTACAGACACGAGTCGAGTATTTACTAAAGTTTATGCAGAAACTGATTGCCGCCCAAAGAATACAGGCCGAGGCCTCCAAACCTCGCATTAAGAAACCAAAAGCACTGAAACCCAAAACTG